CCTTATAAGTTGGTCATGGCCTCCTCCCGTAAGCAAGGTGGGACTAAATCAAGCCAGCCTCCACCGGTGGACAGCAGCTCTAACATCTGGTATCAGAGCCAGCATCGCCATGCCTTCCTGAGGGGCTTCTCAGGGGGATGGGATGTTAGGGCTGCTGTCCACCGGTGGAGGCTGGCTTGATTTAGTCTCACCTTGCTTATGGGAGGAGGCCATGACCAACTTATAAGGGAGAGTATCCCTCCTCCTTTCAGTCCGAGCTTTTGGGATGGAGTGGGCTCTCTGCTGAATGTTGACCCATGTGCGCATAAACGTCCAGAACATAAGTAGAGTGTGGACTAGATCAAGTTGGACGCTAACATGAAGTGGCATACTGAAGACTTATGTTGAGTTGATCTTCAACTGCGGTAGCCGATGTTGATATAGTGGCTGAAGGAAGACGAAGCATCCAAGCAAGCTTGCATACCCCCACAGAGCACCATATTTGAGTGTGTTGGCGTTGCCGTCACTCCTTCATTCCCCATAGTGGCGAAAAACGAGGGTAGAGAACACTTGATCAACCCTCCTCATCTGCCAATTGCATCACACAATTAATTGAATGAAATCTTATATTGAAAATTTGCAAAGAAAAATGAAAATAGAAGGATTTTTTTACCAAGCAGCAATTTGTTGAACACCTGACTGAAATGAGAAGGAAAATGTTTTTTACCACGTAGCCATTTTCTCAAAGACCTACCAGGCGTGGGGGAGGATGATGTGCAGCATCCGGTTGGAATTGGCATCAGACGTGGAGGTCGCTAGAGGGGCCAAGGTGGCCGAAGTTGATTGCTGCCCTCGTCGACGCTCTCAGCCGCAGAACGGGAGCTTGTCGTTGGCCAGCTCGGGAGGAAGGGTTGGCTGAGGAGCGGGCGTAGAGAAGCTCGAGAGCTCACGTGGTGACCGATGAAGACTCCCTAGAGTAGGGGTGATCCGTAGAGGTGGATGACAGCTCGAGCGATGGCCGATGGCACCTAATAGTTCGACTCCACAACAGGAGCAGGCGACCGTCGCAATGACAACTCGGGAGGTGGCTTTGGCGGACTAGTAGGGAATGTTAGGGGCATAGGAGGTCATACTGAAAAAGGCTTATAGCGCCGCTTTATAAATAATGCAAGCCACCACATACAACAAGTGTCATCAAATTCGAAGGTCCACAACAACAAAAAGAGAGGAAAGAAACCAAAGGAGTCCGAGGCACTAAAAACTGGTATTGCCTAGAGGTCTCAGCCAACACAACCCCTAACAGATAAAGAGTTAAAGGAGGATAGGTGACAATAATCACATGTGACGCCAGGTCCTTGTAGTTTTCCTTAAGGTGTTGATGGCCGGCCACTCACGCCTCTTGCTCAAGGGTCTCCAAAGCTGCATGAACCACATAAATTGTAAATATCATCAGTGGCACATGTGGGAATGATATGATTAATATCTAGATTATTTCTAGTACACCACAACATCCACACCACGGCTCCAAAGTTCACCCAAATCAACTTTCGGACCCAGTCATCACTGATGGCAATGGAATGGTAAACATTGGAAAGTTTGAAGGGCACCAGCCACTCCCACACATAGTGGTGGAGCTAT